AGAGCAATCAGCTTCACTTAGTTTACCAATTTAAATGTAAACCACATCTAAAAATACCCTCATAGAAACACCCAAATTATGTTTGACTAAATATTTGAACACCCCATTGCTCGGTCAATTGGGCATATAAAATTAATCATTACAGTCAATAAAGTAAAATCAAAGTGTACATTATTTTTGGCATAATTACTCTTGGCAATTATACCTTGACCCTTTAAGAGTTCTCACACATGGGGATGAGACATTAACTGAAAAAATTTGGGCTAATTCTTACAGCTTTTTAATACTAATCTGTAGACTACAGGTCATGTTCCATTAGAATTTTCTCTCTATTAAGTCACATTGAGTTGTGTGATACCTAGATGCTGTATGTAAATAAAGAATTATTCAGTGTAAATCAGACTATGTGTTAAAAAAGATTTTTTGGGGGAAATTACCCTACAGGTTTAGATGTTAAAATACTTCATGTGTCATAACCAGCCTTTTAGGAGGATTTAAAAAAGATATTGTATTAAAAAGATAGTGTAGCAAACGAAAATAAGTTAATATTAGTAATAAAGTTGACAGTTCAGGTATGATCTGAATTTAACTCCAGTATTTTTCTAATTTATCTTTAGATCTTTATTGGGGAGAGAAGAAAGATTGGAGTTTTTATGATTCTGGGAAGCAAAATGATTTTATTGCCCTCCCCCATGCTATTGTTGTATTTATTTTAACCACTAAAGATTTCTAAGAAGTGGTTTATTAATAGAACAACAGATTAACATTTCTAAAGGCTCCTGTTTTTGTTGATTTCATTATTAACCTCAAGGAAGTTGTTAAATTATTTGCTTTGAGAAATTTGGAAAGTTTTGTGCTTCATGAAAAAAATGAATTTTAAATGTTATATATTTTTTTTCTCTCTCAGTTGGGGAGCTGCTAGAATAAGTGTGGAATTGAGGAGGTTCAATTTATTTGAGCGCTGCTTCTCTAGCTACATTCTTTCCCATTTTGGGTTTCCACCTGCATGGCACAAGTATAGTCACTGCTGTTCTCTTTGTTAGTGAAGATATGAAGTACATTAACATTCCCAGTTAGGGTTGTCAGTGTATGTTTGTGGGATTACTACTAGAAATCACATGAGATGCCTCACCCTAGATCTAATGGATAAACTAATATATGAATGATCAGAAGGTATCCATTTTAGTTTTAAGTTCAGGTATGAAAACATAGGACTGTTACTCAAGATGTTTTTCATTATTATACATAATTACTGCATTTTGGGTGAAATATTAAAACTTGAAAAGGATTAGTGGGACAAAATTGAGATGGATTTTTTAAAATTTATCTAAATTCAATTACCATATAACGTATTATTGGTTTCAGAGGCAGAGGTCAGTGATTCATCAGTCTTATACCCAGTGCTCATTATGTCATGTGCCCCCCTTAATGTCCATCACTCAGTTACCCCACCCCCCACCCCTCTCCCCTCTAGCAACCCTCAGTTTGTTTCGTATGCTTAAGAGTCTCTTATGGTTTGTCTCCCTCCTGATTTCATATTGTTTTATTTTTTCTTCTCCTCCCCTATGAACCTCTGAGTTGTTTCTTAAATTCTATAGATGAATTTTTTAAGAAAGATTTTACTATTAGAGAGAGCCTGAGCTTGTGTGCGTGCATGAGCATGAGCACAGGGGTGGGGGGGAGGAGCAGGGGGAGAGGGAGAAGCAGACTCCCCACTGGGCAGGGAGCCAGAGGACTTGGGGCTGGACCCCAGGACCCTGAGATCATGACCTGAGTGGAAAGGAACAGTCCCACATGTAAGGCACTGAGCCACCCAGGTGCCCCTCTCCCTTTTTCTTTAAAGAAACACTGAAATAAATAAGACTACAGGGAACGTTTGAAGTTAGAGAAGGGTCGTATCTTCAGTAGACAAAAAAAAAATTTATTTTTTGTTGAATCCATGTGATCATAACAATTATTATGTGAACACTTACTGGGGATTTACTTGGAGTAGGCACTCTATGTAACTTTAGGTATATTAACTCATTTAATCCTCATCAAAGTCTCATAATGTTGGGTCCTATATTCCATGTTTCCTTCATTTCTTTTAGATTTATAAATTCTGTGTAGAAAGTTCGGCTCTACATAGAAACTGATTTTTAGTCTCTATTTCATACATTAAAATATTAAAATATGAATATACTATTTATAGATTTTTTTTGGCTATTGGATTGGATTCCTATAGCATTTGTAAAAATTGCATGTGGCTTAATAATTTAACAAACATTGAATGCCCAAGAATTGCCTTGTATCTGTAATTGATCAACATTGCATGTTTTTTCTTATGTTGCCTTTATAATATTGGGTAAGAAATGGTTAAATTGTGAACTCCAGTGAGCCATGCAGATCAGAGTAGGAATTGGGTGGATTTGGGTTTTTTAAGTAGTTTGACACTAGAAATCTCAAAGGCAATTGACTAACAACACTTCTTTCTCACAACTCAGGGGTTGATTCTGATGGGTAACCAGTGTTGAGAACCATTGAATTTGGGAACTGATGAAGATTCAACCTAGTATAGACTGTGAATGACACTGGATAGGTGGAGGATTTTATAATACTAGGGGAAAGGACATATCAGTATGGACATGGACACTATAAAGAAAACGGCAAGTCTGGCGTAGACTACTGTGGAGTAAATAACTGGGAATTACAAGACATCAGCAGATGCATAGAAATGACCATGATAAAAGATTCATCTTATTTATTACATTGCCTTGAATCTATATTCTTAGTTTTTTTTTTTTTAGTTGATTTTCACTAAATAGGTGAATTTATTTTTTATCCAGCTTCATTGAGATATAATTGACATATAACATCATGCAGATTTAGGGTATGCAGTGTGATGATTTGAAATATGTACATATTGTGAAGTGATTACCACAGTAAGATTCACACATTCTCCACATCCAGTAGTTAAAATATTTTTTAAAAGATGAGTTTTAAGGTCTCCTACTGTGCATATGTACATGTAGATACACACACACACACACACACATATTCATGTTTTTTTTTTATTGTACCTTATTTGTTTTGGGGGGTAGAATATTTTTTATTTTAGTATACTTTGAAACAAAAGTTGAAAGAATAGTACACTTAACTTCCATCTGTCTTTTACCTAGATAAACCAGTTCACCCATTGTTTACATATTGTCCCCTTTGCTTTATCATGGCTACATGTTTTGTCTAGTTTGGCCTACAGAATTAGGGACTAATTAGTGGGTGTTTGCTAAATTTATGGTCATTTGTTGTAGAACAAACACAGAATAATAAAAATATGCTATGTAATTCATGAGAACTTCAGGAAAAATAACAAATGAGAAATTACAGTAGATACTACAAAATGTTAAAATGAGAGGAAAGTGAATGAAATCTTTTAAAATGAAAATGAAATAATTTAAACTGAATGAAAATATCACAATGTTTGAAATAAAGCTAAGGCTGTGAATTAGAGGAAAATTTAAGGCTTTATATGTAAATACAAGAATAAAGGAAAAGCTGGAAGTAAACAATTTAAGCATCTTTTTCAAGAAAACAGCAAACTAAATGAAAGAGCGTAGGAGGAAGAAAATACTGGATAGTAGAAATTCAAGAACTAGAAAATAAACATACAAGAGAATCAACAAAGCTTTTCTTTGAAAATGTTAATAAAGTTGATAAAGCCTTGGCAAGAGTGATCATGAAAAAATTTCTGTGGAGTCATGTTTCTGGAATCTCTTATATGGTTTCAGAAAATTATAAAGGGTGTCATCATGAAGATTGGTACTAATAGAACATAGAGCTCCAGCACCATATAATATTCTTGATAAGTGGGAGGTAATTAGTAATAGGAGTACTATTAATTGGTGATATTGTTAATATTTTATTTTATTTTTATTTTTTTGATATTGTTAATATTTTAAGTGGTCTGTTGTTCCCAGCTTTGCTTAGAAAAATGATAAACTATCACTATATCAATGTTCATACACACCAAATTATATAGACCTGTCCATGTAAGAAGCAGCTGGGTTAAATGTGTTTTTTATTTTTATTTTTTTTTATGTTATGTTAGTCACCATACATTACATCATTAGTTTTTGATGTAGTGTTCCATGATTCATTGTTTGCGTATAATACCCAGTGCTCCATGCAATATGTGCCCTCCTTAATAGCTGGGTTAAATGTTAAACTAACTTGATTTAGGCTTCTCATTTAAAATTCAGCCTTTTTTCTTTATTCTTCATATAATACTATGCAACATCTTCTTAATTGGCAACAATATAGCTATTTCTTAGCATTTTAGATCTGTCTACTATAGAGGAGGACGGCATATCTTTTGAGAGCGTGCATCCAGGGTTAACAAAGGTGAACATTATTAGGTCATATGGCTTCTGTTTTTGAATCAGATCATGTCAAAGAGGTCTAAAAAATTTGAAAATCGGTTTAGCTCTTTTCACTTGTGGTAACACTGAAACAGGTGGGAACTTAATTGTATTGAGTTGACCAAATTGAGAGGAATGCCAAGGAAACTGCTGTACTCACCCAGGACACTAGGTGGCACAGTGAGCTGCACACAGGAGGTTTCTTCTAGCCTGAGGAGGGGATCTGCAGGAGAGATGGGATTTTATGATTCTAGGAGACTCCACATAAATGTAGGAGGATTGAATTGTCAAGCCAAAGAGCTGTCACTTCCAGTTAGTCCTTTTCAAATGTATCCTAAGCTCGCTTATTTCTGTTGATTACACACATTCTGGTTAGCCACCTATACAGTGTTGAATACACGCCTTTATTGACTTGGGTGGTAACGGGTCAAGGACTTATCAATGTGAATTCCAAGTGACTTCACTGCCTGAAGGTAAAACCTTCATAGTTCCTAGTTCCTAGTTGGACAGTTAGGAAGAGCATGTAAGCCTCGATTTTAGCATACTAGCGCTTTGTTCCATTTTCTGTTTGAAACTTAGTATTTTTTTTCTTTTTTATCTCAGAAAGAATTTCACAACACATTTGCATAGTTATGGACACAAAAGAAGATGAGAATCATGTAGGTCATCATCTTGAAGAAATACTAAAAAATGAATTAAATGTAAGTATTCAAAGGTTGAGTTTCATGACATCAAAGAGTTGAGTTCCACTTACTCCCGGTTTTTGAGCTGATGAACTTCTTAGTTGAATTCATACCTAATTGGGCTAAGGAAATGGAAGAAGTAGTAATAAGTGTGAGGAGGTCCATAGGAATTATTTGTAACATTTACCACTAACGACTTGTATTATTTACTTCTTTGACAACTTTTTGTCTTGAAATGTTTTGTTGACAAAATGATTTTATTTAATTTTAAGTCATTTCCCTATTTCTGTTAAAATGTATAACCATCTATTAGGGCTTATGATGAACATGTGATGACCTTTTAACAATATACACGATCAAATTCTATTTAAAAGCTGAAGGAAAAAGTTTATTTAGTTAATTTCATCATGATAGCACAGTTAGAAGGGGAATGGGCTCTGCTAAGACTGTCTGCTCAGATGGCAGCTTTTTTGCCTAATTTCCTTACCTTAAATTGAAAATGTCAATAACATTTACTTTGTAAAGTTATTAAGAGGATTGACTTTGGAAAGCATCTAACTTGTAAATTTTTGGTGAAGATGAAACTGTAATAATTAAATTTTTGATGATGAGACAGATGTGTATTAAGTAATGAATACTACTAGTTCCCAAACTTTAGTCCTGATTTAGATACACGAACTGTGAAGAACATAGATCCCTGGAATATATAAAAACTTAGTGAACGATAGTTTGGGATTAGTTCTAGAATCCAAATTTTTATACTTCACCTTAACCAAAAGGCCAAGAAGAGATAGAATCCAAATTTTTAACAAGCTCCCCCAGGTGATATTAATGGCACTTAGTGCCAAATTCTACCCAGTAGCACTTGGAGCAACAACCTAAGCTGAAAGAAAATGACCACCATATCCACTGTCTCTTCAGTGGAAAGGTTATACTATAATCTACTTTGCGATATTGCTTCTATCCGCTGACTTTCTGGACATTTCCCCTTCATCCTTGGAAATTTTCGCATCTTGTGCTCTCTGCTTTCTACCTCGAGTTCACCTATTGAGAATCTATTCCTAAATTCCATTTCCCAGTTTCACTGCTGCATCTTGCAGAATATTTATTGATAACTTTCCACTGTCTGACCCACTAAAGCACCCTTTTGCCTCAAAAATAGTCTTTTACCTTTGGGTAATCTCATTTATTCTTTCTCCAGTCAATGCAGAAGTCACTGAGGTGAGACCCTGAAAGAATATTACTGGAACTCTGGCTATCGATCAACCCTAAGTTTAGAGAGTTGGATTTTTATACTCTTGTTGAGTACCCAGCTGTTGTATTCTGTGTGACTAATTCCTTTATGGATCTTTCTAGTATTAGACCCTGCAAGAGGTCCCTTTGATAACAATTATTACAGTATTAACTTTTTATTCTTTTCCTGTATCTGTTGAATGATGAAATGACATGGAATGTAGGGATACACACAGTAGTACATTACTGGCCTTGTGTGATTTATTCATCACTCTGGCCTCTCAGGTCCTTACCCTTTTCATTCCCAGTGAGCTTCATCTACCTACCCATTGGGTCCAGTCTGCATATTGCCATCATCTTCACTGTGCTGACAAAATAAATACTAAGGTTATTTCTTAAGTTCTGACCACAACGTTTTGTCGTTTCATATATTTTACTAAATTACTCCTGCGCATATTTGATTTTTATAGGAAACTCCAGGTCCCCCATCTTCTCCCTTTCTTTTGGCTACATTTTATTTTATTCCCTTCCTTGCCTAGTTTAGATGTCATATTCTAGGGCTTCAGTGGATCATGAATCTTCTACCGCTATCCTCAATTCCCTTGTCCTTCAAATGCACCCCTTGGTTAAAACTCCAGGTATTTGTCTAACTTTTCACTTCTCTAAGCCTTGACTCAAACTTCATACTGCTGGAGAAAATTATACAGCAGTGCAGACTGTTGCCATTAAAAAATACTGGTCTCCATTCTCCAGTGGGCAAAGAATAATTTATTTATTTATTTTTAAAGCAAGTATACTATGATTGCATAATCAACCCCCCATCCTCCTCTGAATATTTTAGACCTCCTGCACTTTGCTCAAACGCTGAACCCAGGTTTTCCTAACTTCACTGTTAGCATCTTGAGCTAGGTAATTCTTTGCTGTGAGACCTGTCTTCTGCGTTGTCTATTGTTCAGCAGCATCCTTGGCCTATACCCACCAGATGCCCCTAGTTGTAGCAACTAAAACATCTCCAGTTACTAGTAAGTGTTGCCTGGATGGGGCAAAATCCCCCTTCAGTTGAGAAAAGCTGGTCCAGTCCCACTGTCTTTAACCCCACTGTCAGGCATGACCCCCACATGGCAGCATTCCTATCTTCCCGGCACCAAACCTCCACGAATCCTATGTCTGTAGCCGTACCCTTAGGAAGACTGTTTCTTCTTCTGAGCTCTGGTTCCCCTCTCTCCTCTTCCCCCATTGCCGTCAACATCCCAGCATATTCAAGTTCCTTCCATTAATTGAAACTAAACAAAACAAAAAATCCTCTTACTCAGGTTACCCTGAAGCCAGCCTTATTTTGAATAATTTAACTTCTCATTTCTCATTTCAGTGTAGCCTGATTTCCAGTCCTACCTTGCGTAGGAACTACTCTCAGCAAGGTCCTCAGTGACTGTCTGGGCAATCCACAAGACATTTATCAGTCCTTACCTTGGTTTATTGCAGTACTTGACCCTCTTGTTTAATACTTTCATCCAGAAGGAATCTCATCCAGTTTTATAATATCTTGTTTTTCTGAACCTCCTTTTTTGTTTGTGGCTTCCTCTTAGTTTTGTTTATAAGATCCTGTTCATAATTTTTAGGTTTCTGTACATGGGTGAGTGGTTTCCTCTGTATAACCATGCTGATGGCTTCACATATCATCTACTTGCTACAGAGAAAACCATTCTCTAGCCCTGTGTTTAATTATTCACCAGCCTGTGTTTCACAGCTGTAAATTCATTTAGAAGTTCCTCAGACCCTCAAACTTAAGTGTTAGTAGTATTTAACATTTCACAAATTCTTGCTTAAAGCATTTGTTCTCCATCTGCTAAGGTGTCGGCCTCTGACATTTGGATATTTTGCTTAGTACCCTAAACCTGGTGTAATCTTTCAACCATTATCTCACCCCTGAAGCAAATAAAATTCTAAAACACTTGAATTTTATCTCAGTATTCCTCAACTGAGGAATCTGGAGGCTTCCCAGAGCTTAGTGCAGTCTTGATACCAGGGGGAGATTTATTGAATGCTAAATAAACAAATGGATACATGATCGTAACTTGTTATTACTAACTTGCACATTATATTACGTATTGTACTATGGTTTCTGTATAACCAATTATTCCCAACTTAGAGACCTTAAATAACAAACACTCACTATCTCACAGTTTTTGTGAGACATAAGTCTAGGCACAGCACAGCCTAGGCTTTGGTTCAGGGTCTTTAATATGACTGTAGTCAAGCTGTCCTCTGCAGGCTGAGGCTACAGTCTCACCTGAATCATGCATGGGCAAATGGATCTGCTCCCGGTTTATGCAAATAGTTGTTGTCAGGCCTCAATCCCTTGCCGTGTGGGCTTATCCACAGAGCTGCCTCACAACATGGCATTCAGGATTGAAGGCATGGTCTTTCTGTAACTTGGTCTTAAAAGTAACACCCCATCACTTGTGTCCTATTGTCTTCATTCAAAGTGAGTCAGTATATTCAGCCCACACTAAGAAGGGGGGATTATGTGAGATTGTGAATATTGAGAGGTGGGGGAATTTTTAGTGGGTCTCTTTTAGGAGTTGTCTGCCACAAACATAAATTTGTTACTAAGTTAGAAAAGAAAATACCCACTACCATGGCCATCCTAGTTTCCTGTACATGAGAAGCAGTACTATATTTAAGTCTGAGTCTTCTCTATTAGAAATCATTATCCGACCACTGACCATTATCCTTAAATAAATGGAGGCCCAATCTATTTGATATGAAAACTAGTCCTTAGTACTCGAGTTTATCATATATTCTATATGACAAACCCCAGAGTTGATCAGAAACATCCAAATAGTTTTCTTTTTTTTATTGTGTTTTATTATGTTAGTCACCATACAATACATCATTAGTTTTTGATGTAGTGTTCCATGCTTCATTGTTTTCGTATACACCCAGTGCTCCATGCAGTACATGCCCTCCTTAATACCCATCACCAGGCTAACCCATCCCCCCACCCCCCTCCGCTCTAACACCCTCAGTTTGTTTCTCAGAGTGCATAGTCTCTTATGGTTCGTCTCTCCCTCCGATTTCCCCCCCTTCATTTTTCCCTTCCTTCTCCTAATGTCCTCCATGCTATTCCTTATGTTCCACAAATAAGTGAAGCCATATGATAATTGACTTTCTCTGCTTGACTTATTTCACTTAGCATAATCTCCTCCAGTCCCATCCATGTAGATGTAAAAGTTGGGTATTCATCCTTTCTGATGGCTGAGTAATATCCCATCGTATATATGGACCACATCTTTATCCATTCATCTGTTGAAGGGCATCTCGGCTCTTTCCACAGTTTGGCTATTGTGGACATTGCTGCTCTGAATGTTGGTGTGCATATGGCCCTTCTTTTTACTACATCTGTGTCTTTGGCACCATACACAAAGATAAACTCAAAATGGTGTGACCTCATTGAAAGACCTCAATGTGAGACTGAATAATTTTCAAATCAGTGACTGACAGATGGAGCTGACTAGCCAAAACCAACAGCCTAAGAACATACTCTAAACAAGAAATGAGTTTAATCACCTGAATTAAATACAGTTCTATCCAATATAAACCAGCCTAACAAATTTTCAAATTCTAGTAGAGAAAAGAGTCATTGACTACTTTTTTTAGGTTTTTATGTTGATCATTCCATAGTATAACCCTAGGTGACCTGTTGTATAATCTGATAAAACATACTTAATATTGACTTAATTTTAAAAGAAATGAGCCCACAAAATAGATAATAGTCTTAACAT